AAATAAATGAATAAATCTTAAAAAAATAAATAAAATAAAATGGTGCCAAAGCAGGAGCTCTTCCTTGAGAATGAAGGGTATTGAGTTGAAGCAATCAAATCTGGGGATGGGCCAGTCTCCCAGGCAGGGACTGAAATGCTGAGATGTGGTTCAAGGATGAGTGAACCTTGAGTCCGATTGCACAGGATTTACCATCAGCAGAGTTAGAGCCAGAGGTGAGCATGGGTTAGGCTACAACAGGGGTGGGGTGGGGGAGGGGGAGCTGGGTGGCAGAGGGCTAGGGAATTTTACAAGGAGATCCAGTGGAGTCTATGACAGGGGAGGATGCTCTGAGCAGGGATAGTGTGCACCGGATCATGTCGTCAATCATCTTGCCAATGGAAATCTGCAGAGTGCCCAGTGACTCATGGGCCAGCAGAATGTAGGCCAGACGGGTGAAGCTGAGCATGCTGGTGACAGCAAAAAGCACCTCTGCCAAGAACTGGGGGTCCTCGGTGTGCCACTCACTTCGCTCTGTGTGGGGTGGAATGGGGGCTGAGGCTGAGAGCCAGGGGACAGAAGGGATAGGGGGATTCAAGCTGAGTCGGGGGGCACTCACCAGCCGCGGTGAAATAGTGGCAGGCAGCGCCATCCGGGGCATCCTGGCAGTGCGCGTGGGCAAGCCCGGCCAGAAGGAGGCACAGTGCGAAGGCCGCCAGGTACAGGGACAGGATGACCATGTCCAGGAAGTTCCACCAGTCCAGGACGTAACTGCGCAGGCCCTCGATCCACACCTCCTTGCACTCAAACCACAGAAAGCCTGAAGGAGGTGGTAGGGGGAGAGCTAGGTTATGGTGTGGGGGCACCTACCCACGGGGGGGCGGAGAGCTAAACTATCACGGGGACAGAATTGATAAAACATAAACATGCAATCTACGTAAGGACAAAATGATCTTCCGTGAAAATAAAAAACACTCCTGGGGCGCCTCAGTGGCTCAGTGGGTTGAGCCTCGGACTCTTGATTTCGGCTCAGGTCATGGTCTCAGGGGTCGTGAGATGGAGCCCCATGACAGGCTCTGTGCTGGGTGTGGAGCCTGCTTAAAATCGTCTCTCTCCCTCTCCCTCTGCCCCTCCCCACCTCGCTCCTGTGCTCTCTCTCAAACAAACAAACAAATAAAAGCCTCCTGGCTGATGCAGACTCATCTATGGTGTGGCCTGCATCGATGACCCCAGGCAGCTGATATGTATAAACTATACCTGGGAGAGGCTGGGACTGGGAGGGAATGATTTAAATCTGTTTCTCCCTGCCTTCCACCGAACAAATACTGGACAAATATTTCGAGAATATTGATTTGAAGGGGCTCCAAATTATCTGCCTGCTCTGAGAGCCAGACCTGGGAATGGGGGTGGTTATGGGAGCTGGATCCTATTAGCCAGGTAATCCTGCTGCGTTGTACCCTTCTCCATTCCCTAGATACAAGTGTGTGCTGTTTCCGTCTGCCTAGAAGGCCCTTTCACACCTGTTTGAAGCTGGGCTCACCTTTATGGCCCAGGTCAAATACTACCTCCTCTGCGAAGCCTTCCCTAAGCAGGTGGGGTGAGTTGCCCCTTGCACTCGGCTCTCACAGCTTCCTTTAGATCTCTGTGATGCCCATCAACCACGGGGCACTGCGGGATATCTCTTCCTGGGTCTGCCTCCCCTCACTTCCCCTGAACTTTGCAGCCCTTAAGGGCAGGGACTGTGTCTGATTCATCTCCTTGTCCACAGTGCACAGCGCAAGGCCTAGGAGTCACTATTAAACCAACATTCATTAAGCTGCTACCATGTGCCAGTGGGGCTCGGTGGTGAATAAGACAAATACAGCCCCTGGCCTCCCAGGATGCCAGCGAGGGAGACAGACAAGTAGCCTAGTGGTTACAATCCAGTGTGGTAAATGCTCAGATTGAGCAGCAGAGGAATAGAGAGGCTGTTACGGGAGTGGTTAGAAACGGATCCTCACCCTGATTTGGGGGCCAGGGAAAGCTTCTCAAAGAAAGTGACCTTTAAGCTGAGTTTGGAAGGAGGGGTGGGGAGAGCCGGCCAGGTGACGGGGCTGTGTGGGCAGGGGCCGGGGCTGGGAGACTATCTCAGGAGCCTGGGGTAGATGTTGCGTGGGTGGATGGAACCAAATTTAATCGATCCTGGCTTCACTCACAGTAGGGTAGCAACAAGCACTTCGTGCATGAAGAAATGCAGAGTTTGGTTTCTTAAGACGTTTCTTCCCCCATGGGCAGGAACAGAATTGGCTTTATTTCCACTTAGCATAGGTCCATCATGTTTAGTAAATCATTGGATGGGAAACTTTTCCTCTTGGACTGCTGTTATTTTCTTCCCCAGAGTTTCTTGGCCAGGTTTCCTTCTGGTCATCAAGGCCTTGGTACAAGGTGGAGCAGTGGATTTGGTGGTGGTAGCTTGGGGAGATTTGCTAACTAAGCTAGAGCAGAATGAGGGGAGGACGGCTGAGGAAGCGGCCAACAGCCCAGCCCGCCGAGCTGACCCGCCAGAGGCTAGGTAAGGCTCTGGGGATTCTTGTAATTGCCTTTGCTGAATTGTTTAAGAATACTTGATTCTGCTCTAGAAGAAAACTAATGGAATGAATGAAACTTATACACTGAGCATAGATAAGTTAGTTATTTGGGTGACATGTTGAACAAATAAAATGAGTAGAGCATATGTGTGTGAACATACATAGAAAGGGATGGGTGGACTCTATTCACGATATACTGAATATACATGCGGCAGAAGAAGCCCTTAGGACTCACCAGCTTTTAAGTCAGCTACCCACTGGTAATACCCATTCTGGCCCTCTGTGTCCTCTGCACAAGGATTGCAAAGGAAACACAGAGCTGCCCATCAGGATGATTAGCAAGCTTCAGCTGTGGCCAAACATATTTGCCCCCACGTCTCTCCCATAGATGAAGTGTTGGGGCCAGGCAACCTCTCGCTGTTGTAGCCCCTGCTTGGACCTCAACTCTGCTCCCCCTAACCACACCATTCTAAGCATACCATTTAGGGATTTAATAAACTGTATGACTTAGGCATCTCAATTTGGTCCATGAGCCATTCTGTTCCATGACTTTTGGGACCAGATTGCCTGATGGTGTACTGGTAGGCTACCATGACACCAGGGTGACTTCCCACCTGACACTATGGACCCGTGTCTTATTTGTGAGAGGATAGGGAGGTCCAGAGTCTTATCACAGGGATAGATCCCCTAACTAGGGGTGAATGGAAAAGGTCCTTTGGTGTGGGAGAGCCCAGGGGGGTTTGGTTATATGTTCAGGGCACATCCACAGGGAGAGGGCCCCCTCATTGGAATACTTATTTTGAAGAACAGCGAGGCAGCCCACCAAGGGAACAGCTACAAAAAAAAAAAAAAAAAAAAAGGCCTCACACATGTACCTGTGACCCAAACCATGTGTAGGGAAGTCTCCCAGATGCTCTGGCTGCAGCCTCGGAAGGTACTCAGCTGTGTCTCCATGGCCAGGGACTCGCCCAACAGGAAGATGAGGAACCACAGATAGGAGGCCGAGTGCAGCAAGAACTTCAGCACTGGGATCTTCAGCAGGCGGCCCAGCTTGGGGGCAAGGAGGGAAAGCGTGGCTCTCAGAGACCGGTCACATCTCCCCCCTTCCTGGGAGAACTTCCAGACTCCTCCTTTCACACATGCACGTATTCAGGCATTTATTGAGAATGTACTACATTTCATATCTATTTCCTTCACAACTGTATGAGTATTACTATTCTCCGTTTTCTCAGCTAAGAAACTGAGGATCATAGAAGTGAAGGAACTTCCCCTTGGAGGTCCCACAGCCTCCTTGAGTTCAAGCTCAACCAAGTTAAAAAATAAATTCATCATCTTTTATCCCAAACTTCTTCCTTCTTGTCCTCCTGTGTCCCCATCTTCCTAACTCCTGCCCCATCCCCTCAATCCTCATGCCTCTAGTAGAGAGAACTTTCTAAAATACACAACAAATGGGATCACTCCCTTGATTAAAATCCTACACTGGCTTCCATCACTGCTTATAAGGCTCTGCTAGATCTGGCCCCTGCCTGCTTCCCACCACTTGCTATTTCTACTTATGCTTTAGCAACACAGACATTCTTTCAGTTTCACTAATCCTTTATGTTCTCCCTCCCCTGGGCCTTCCAATATCCTGCTCCTGCTCTCTGGAGGACGGCTTTCCCTGGTCCTCATCTGGCTGACATCGCTTGCTCTTCGTTAAATCCCCAGGGCCAGGCATAATGCCTGGCTCACAGCAGGGTTTCAAGGAGATACTTGTTGAGATGAAGGAATAAAAACATCTGGGTCCGTAAAGGCTCTCAAAGAACCTGTAGGCTGGGGCGGGAGTCTCTTTAGGAGAGTATGGGGTTGTATATGAAGATTAGGCTTTGGAGGCTGAGAGACCTCAGTTTAAATCCTGACTGTGCTGTTCCTGTGTACCCCGGACAAAAAGAGCACTTCTGTTCTCCGTGCCTCCTCTATAAATCAGCGTCAGACCGACTTCCCAGGGCCACTTCAGGTGACTCAAAGAGCATATTCGCCAAGCGCTCAGTAAATGGCAGTTATCATTAACTTTATTCCTAGTACCCGGGACTTGGGCGCCAGCCAGTAGCCAAGGCAGAGGAAGGGCATGGTGAGGAAGATGAGGAAGGCGACAAAGAGCTTCCAGATGGTGGTGCTTCCACGCCAGCCAGCCAGGATCCCACACCAGATGGAGGACAGGACTTGCTGGCAGATGGGGTGTGCTACAAACTAAGCAGAGAGGGCGCATGAGCAGAGTGGGTGGTTACCAGGCAGGGAAGAGAGGGAGGGAGCCAGCTGGGTACGTAGTCCTTCCTTCCCTGCCATAAAGATTGAGTCATATTTCTTTTCTTCTCAGGCCACCTAGCTCAGAAGAAAGGCAACTCATTTGCTGTGTGACCTTGGGCAGACCCCAGACCCCACCCCTCTTTGGGTCTTGGTTTCCTAGTCTATGAAAGAGAAGCTGAACTCAAAGATTTTTCTGCACTCTCCGGATCCCACATTTTTTCCTTTTTTCTAAGTAATCTCTGTACCCAACATGGGACTCAAACTCACAACCCAGAGATCAAGAGTCCAACGTTCTACTGGCTGAGCCAGCCAGGCACCTCCAGATCCCACATTCTTGAACTTAAGGCAGTGATGGGTGGAACTAGGTACCCAAGGCCCAGAACCCTCAGGGGTTCCTGTCTTGTTAGAGATGTGGGGCACCAGTCCTGAGGAGGGGAGGAGCAGGGAAAATAGGGTGGTGTCTTGGAGGGCAGGGCCAGGGAAGCTGTTATGAAGGAAGGTTTTTGGTTTAGCTCCTGGTGGGACAGGATATCTGAGGGTGGGTGAGAGGGAGGAGTAAAGGGTGGGGAGGCTAGAAAAGGAGCATGTCTTTAGCTTACAGAGACAGGCATCTAATGAGGTGGGGAATAATGGAATCACTTTATATCTAAGCCCTCAGAGAGCTAATCTTGCTGAATAGAGAGAGATACTGAAGTCTAACAACAGAAGAAGACTGGACCAAACTTACTGCATAGGCCAGAGACAGAGCTGAGTAAAACCCAGATGTCTGGGCTGAAGGTAGGGTCCTGGTGGGTCATGGGACTTCCAAGGGCTGGGGAGAGGTTAGGGGCTTAGACTAAAGGTTAAGAAGGGAGGTGAGGAGACCCAGAGGGCCAAGGGCCTAGATGGAAGAGTGCTTGGGATTAGAGTCTTGGAAGGCAGGGAGAGGACTTATTTGGGCTGCACTGGGGCATACCCAGCCTTGGCTGGGCGGGGATCGGGGCAGGGGTGGGGGAGGTAGGTAGGGCCCAGCTGACCCGCTTCTGGTTGTAGTTGACGGCCAGTCGCAGCCTCGCCAGGTTGGGGATGCCTTCCTCAAAGGCCTGGCCCAGGCCCTCAGCCTCGGGTTCAGTCTCGCATCCTCGCGCTGGTCATTGAGCACCGCAGTGACCTCGCTCTGGTTCTGGCACATGTCCAGCAGTTCAAAGCCGTAGTCCTGGCTCAGCGCCTCCAGAGCAATGTACTCGGGCTGCAGGGGAGCCGGTGTGCGTGGCCACCCTGCGGCCCCAGCCCCGTTAAGTCAGCCCCACCTTCCCAGCAGCGGGCCTGGGCCCCCTCTGTCCTGCTGCGGGCCCTCACTTCCCCACATGTGGTGTCACCCTGAGTCGTCTGTTCCTTTGTCCTCTGCCAGCCCAAAGCTCTCCTCCTTGCTCTGAGATGCCTCTTGTGTCAGCTTTGCTTTTCTGGTGCTCCGTCTACCTCATCCCTAGGTCATTCCAGCCCAAACCCCACTGCCATCTTTGTACCTCCCCCTTCCAGTCCGTTTCCCGGCCCACTTCTCGTCCTGCTCTGCGTGCCTCTTGTGGGTTCATTTCGTTCATTTTTTTTTTTTGAGCGCCTACCTTACCTGAGAAGCTGTCAGTTTTAGCAGCAGACACGGGTAGGACAGTTCTTGCCTCCACTTACCCAGCCTGGCCTTGATTTTACTCAGGGCCCCAATCCCAGGGAGAATCCAGGCAAGAATTCCAGGAGGTGAGGCCCGAGCCCAGCAAGGTCCCTCAGGTGGTGTCGCATGGGGCACGGGGCTTCCCCTTGCCAGGCCTGGAGAACCTCTGCTGCCTCCTTCTGTGGGGCTGCTGCGAGCACGGAGGGAGAGTTCTTCGGAAGGACCCCTCTTTCCTGCTACTTGTGAAGTGGGAGCTCTGAGTCTTCCACAACTCTGGTGAAGCAGCATGCTCTTTCCCCGGCTCACCTGGTATGGACCGCGTCCTGCCTTCGGCCTCTGTTTCAATAGCCTTGTCTGTGTCCCTGCCTAATGGTGATCTTGAGCATGGGGACCAAGTCTGCCTGGCACAGAGGGGATGTTGGTGGATGAGTGAGGGACGGAATGGGGCTGGTGGTAATCAAGGCTCCTGACAAGTCCCTGCCACTGGGCCTCCCCACCTCCCCTTCACATGTTCTCTGTCCTGCGTGGGCCCCCGCACTCATCGCCATGTCGAGTTTTTCTACCCGACAGCCTTTGCTCACACTGCACCCCTACTCAAATATCCTCCCGACTCCTCTTCACTTTAAACCGCCTGGCTGTGCAGCCAAGATTAATTCTGCTTCTTCAAAGGAGTCTGTCCTGAGCACAATAGCTGTAGCCCCCGACCTCTCTTTTCTGGGTTTTAGAAGCCATGTAGCATTCTCCATAGAGGCACGAAGGGAAGCTGAGCATCCTAGGAGTGGCTTGTCCACCTCACTCTGCCCTTCCCTGCTTGGGATCACAAGCTTGGGGCCCCAACACACAATGTTTGATGTGGGACCTCACAGGAGGTATTCAGAAAGGACGGGTTCCACTGAATGTCATCTCTCTCTCGCTGCTTTTCTATCTGTGTCCTCCCTCTTCCCTTAGACCAAGGGCATCCCTAGCGTGGGGTCTGTGCTGCCCCCATAAAACTAGGTGCCCCTAGAGTGATGGCTCTCTGCCATTAGAATGAGATTCCCCCTTCAGGGTGGGATTCTGTAACTCCCCATGAAAATGGAGGGGTACACAGGTCATGGTCTCGGGGTTCTGGGATCCAGCCCCGCATCGGGCTCCCTGCTCAGCAGGGAGCCTGCTTCTCCCTCTCCCTCTGCCCCTCCTCCCCGCTTGTGCTCTCTCTCTCTGTCTCAAATAAATGGATAAAATCTTAAAACAACAACAAAATGGAGGGTTACTGAGAACAGAACAAGGCCTCATCATCTTTCTGTTGTTTTCCACGCCCCAGGACCCCCGCCCCAGGCCCACCCCTGCCCATGTGAAAGGACAGATATGGGTGACCACAGGCAGGGGGAAGTATGAGACTCCGACCTTAAACTCAGGCTCCTCGCGCGCAAGACGCCTGAGCTCCCGGCTGAGCTGGAAGGCGGCCAGCATAGCGTCCTCACTGGCCAGCAACAGGTGGGCCCTGCTGGCCATGCCGCGGTAGGTGTTGATGCGGGACAGGGAGAACTTCAGCAGGTCCTAGCGGCGGGCGTTGCTGCACTCGAGGCAGGCGCAGGAGACCAGGTGGGGGCGGGCGATGGTGTGGCCCTGGGCCATGAGCAGCTGGGCGATCTCATACAAGTCCTTCTGGCAGGCCAGGGTGAGGGGAGTGACGCCAGGGGCAAAGCGCGAGCCATCGATCGACGAGTCAAAGAAGGCCAGTGAGAAAGACCTCGTGTCCACTTTGCGGCCCTTCTCCCGTTCCAGCCGGGCCAGTAGGCGCCGCACCGCGGCCGGCTGGTTTGTGTCCCCTGCCACCAGCAGGGTCTCGTGGATCTGCCGGACATCAAACTTGACATTGGCCAACAGCACATCAGTGATGGCTTTGTGGCCCAGCCGGATGGCCAGATTGAGAGCTTCCCTCCAGGAGCGGTCCTCGGCCTCCTCCACGTTCCTCAGGGGCCCACCTGGCCCACTGCCCGACGCCTCGACCCCCGACTCCAGCAGTTGCTGCACTAGGCCCAGGTGCCCCTCCTGGATGGCGGCCAGGAGTGGAGGTGGGAACCTCAGCTTCTTGTTCGCGATCTCCGTCCAGGTGGGCTGTGGCTGGATGAAGGACGGAGAGAGCAAAGGACCTCCTTTGCTGTGGGGCCTCCCTCACCCTTCCACCTTTAAGCCCTCGGCCCAGACACCATACTAGTTTGCTTTCGCCCAAAAGCATACTAACAATGTCGTTTTCGAAGTACACTTAATGTAGTGCTTATATATGCTTCTTTTCTGAGCACTTCCCAAGTACAGCAACTCACTCTTTACAGTAACCCTGTGAGGTAGGAGCGATCATGCCCCCTTCAGCAGGAGAGGAAACTGAGGTACAGATATGCTAAGCCACTCAGATGAGATGGGGACCCAGCAGTCTGGCTGAGGAGCTGGTGTTCTTAACTCCCCTTTATGCTACTTCTCAACTCAAATAGGAATTATTGTTAACTAGTTTTGGATTTCTGGAATCTTTACTCATTCAAAACACCCAAAATGTGGGATATAATAATGTAAACAAATAAATGATTCCATTTTTTTTCTTTTAAGGAAAATAAGAATGCTACCACCTTTATCTATGTATTACTCTGAAATTAATTTCTATATCAAATATACATCCTATACTCTAGTATATTATGGTTTATCTAATGTAATCGTCTTACATAATGAAAATATGAATGTTCCCCAAAAGATTATGTCTTTATAGGGGATAAATTTCATTTCCATATTTTCTAGGAATCAATCATTTTGGAAACACCCTTTCATACCATAATAATAGTTTCTTGTATAGATTTGTTGTTAACAAATACCCTTTTATTGAAATACTGATATTTAGAGAATTGGTCTTGGTTGAAAAAAAGCATCCTTTTCTTTTAAAAAAAGTTGGCTGTACAAAAACTATACAAATTTATTTTTACAGTTCTAGAGGTTAGAATTCAGAAATCTGTATCATTGGGCTAAAAAGTCAAGGTGTTGGCAGGACAGGGTGGCTCTAAGGGAGAATCCAATCCAGCTTCTAGAGCTATGTTCCTTGCATTCCTTAGTTTACGGCCACCTCCTTCATCTTAAAAGCCAGCAGCACTGAAGATTACAAACATTTCCTTCGTCACCATTTTATTGTGTAGATTCTTAGGTGAGGAAGGGCCAGGACTGGGTCCCGCCAGGGTCCCCCTTCCTCAGCACAGCTGCCACCCTCAACAGGAACCCACACACAGTGGGCCAACATAGGTACTCTGAGAAGGGGTGGGTTAAAGCAGGTGGATGGGCTGCACGGGGAGTCTAACACAGGATCTGCCCAGGACCCAGCTCCCATTTTGTTGATTTCCTCTCCCAGCTGCTCATCCCTCTGAGAGTCCCAGAGCCTCCGAAGGACAGGTCCACGCAGAGGGTCTTTGACCTGGGCTTTCTCACAGCCCCTCAGCTCTGTCCAGGACTCCTAGCAGATCCTAATGCTCCTCCCACCAAACTTTCCTGGCTTTGTCCTCTCCTACTTTGGGTAGCATTTCTCTCTGTGCTGCCTCGTCACTCTCTTGTACCGGGCCTAGCCCCCCTCACTGCTCTTCTCTCTGGGCCCAGGCTTGGGGCTCCAGGGGCTCTCCTCCACCAACATGGCAATATCCATCACCTGCACGGTGGCTGGGATGTCCTCTCTGCCCCTGTGGCTCAATCTATTGTTTTAATTATGGCCAGAAATGGGAGCAGGATGAGGGAAAGTAGGAGAGCAGGCCTCTTACCGTGAGGAGGTCCATGGCTGCACCCGCCTATGCTGGTAGGGACCGAAGGACTTAATTCCTGCTCTGTCTGCTCCCCTGACTGTGCCGCTTCCTCTTTTCTACCCTTGAGTTCAAAACCCCGCCCTGGGCCCTCCCTTTGCCAGGACCAGCTGCTCCCCCTCTGCCCTGTACCCTGGAGACCAGAGGAACTGGTAAGTACCACACAGTGGAAACTTCTGGGAAAGGGGAGAGGACATAGTTGCTCAAGAAAGGTGGGAATAGAATTGAGAATATCACAGGTGGAGGGGACCTTAGAGACCCTCTGGTCCAACTGTCACATTGTACAGATGGGGACTGGGATTTGCCCAAGGGTCCACAGCCGAGCCTAGACCCATTCCTTAGTCATCAACCCATCTGATCCCTAGAATAGCTCTGCAATCAGGAGGACGGCGGTTTTCTGTTACTGAGGGTTAATTCTGGGTCCAGGATGAAGAACTTGCTTCAAGTCACACAGTAACACCGTTACCTGATCGTACCTAGGGAGGGAACCCACAAAGGATACTGGGAGTTAAGGTCATGGGATGTTGGAAGTTAGTCTCGTGCTCAAAAATCACTCTCAACTTCCCAGTATATCACAAGATCTTATCTGCCAGGCAGTGCTTTTGTTTCATTTGGTCTCAGTTTTCCTTTTAGGAAAATGGGCATGAGGATGCGCATCACTCACTGAGAGGAAGACATTCTGGATTATGTCCCAAAGCCCTAGAGAAATCACCAGTTCTACCCAAGAAGTTCTAAAGGGGAAAAGGATGGAGCTGTCTTGGGAGAAGTGGGGGCCATGGTGACAGAAGCCTTGACAACTGGGAGTGGAGAGCAGGCTGGGCCCAGAGGTGCCCTCAGGCAGAGTCCTAAGGGAATGAGTGGAAAGAAAGGAGGAAGGCAGCTGGGCCTTATTAGCTCTTAGCTGTCGCAAGACCCACTCCCCAGTTTTAGTCACAGAGGGCACGGGGCCAAAACCATGGCACCTCATGGCTCATGTCTGCGGGACCTCCCCACACATGCTGGCATGTTCTTCTACTTCTCCCGCTGAGAAGTACAACTGGCAGAGAGGGCACTGGACCCAGGATGTGGGTGGTGAGCTTTCCGGGGAGGACACCCACAGTACGGACTGTGATGAAGATGGTGATGAGGAGGGAGAGGCTTGCTGAGGTGGGGAGATCTCTCCGCAGGTGGCAGCGTGCCGGGGAAGAACCTCAGTGCTGAAGGAGCCTAAGGGGGAGAGAAGGAGGTTAGCAAAGTTGGGCCCGCTCCCAGGCACGATGCCACCCCAGTGTGGCTGTTTTTGCGGGAAATTTACTCTGGCTGGATATTCTACACCTGACACTGTCCGGTCGTGAATGCGCCAAACATTTATCAAGGGTTTACTGTAGGCCTTACACTGTGTCTGGAGCCGAGGGGCGGAAACTGAGGCCCGTCCTTCTGGACTGTAGAGTTCAGGGGTAAAGATGAGCTATGGCCACAGGCAACTGTGATACAAAGCAGAAGTGAGAAGTGCCAAGTGCAAGGGAATCTGAGAACAGTGCAGGGGCTCGGCTCGGAAAGATGAGCTGAGAAGATCAGAGAAGACCTGGCAAATAAGTATCATTTGAATAGGGACTTAGAGAATTGGGACATGGAGGAAACAGTTGGGAAGGAAATGCTAGGCCCTCTCTGATAGTATTTCTTATTGCTTTGTTTCATATTTCCCCTGGGGACAGGGCCTGTGTCCCTTCCTCAGCTTGGCCAACACAATGTAAGCATGTGCTCCAAACAGACTTGTATGTAACTGCGGAGAAGACTGGGAGTCCAAGCTCGAATATTCCCTGGCAGTGTTCCCAGGTCTCCTAGTCCTCCCGCAAGCGATGCCTGGTAGTCCCACAATAAGCCCTGGGCCCCAGCAGCTCACCTGCACAAATGGGGCACAGTGAACTGTCCTGGACCCCACTGCTTTGGGCCTGGGGTCGGTGGTGTTCTCTCTGCCCTGCCTTTGCCATCCCCCTCTGGTTGGGCCGCGAGTTCGAGCTGGATAAAGGCCTGTGAGAAAGAGTAGTTAAAGACCAGCTATTAGTAAGAGGCTACAAGGGCTGAAGGAGCCTCGAGTTAGGATAAAAGAGTGTGGACTCATTGACGTGGAGCCAGAAGCCGTGGTTGGAGTCCTGGTTTTCCCACTTGATGTATCCAACCTGAGGGAAGTCACTTAGCCTTGAACATCTGAGAACAGAAGTTCTGTTATTGCTTTCAGGTTTTTTAAATTATTCTTTTATTGAGATAAAATGCACATCTGATAAAATTCATCCTATTAAAGTATACTATTCAACAGTTTTAGGATATTCACAAGGTTGTGTATGACTATCTAATTCCAGAACATTTTTATCACCCCGAAAGGAAACCCTAAACCCATTAGTAGTCACTACCCCTAACCCCTCTCCGCCTCAGACCCTGACAACCACTAATCTACTTTCTGTCTCTGTGGACTGGTCTATTCTGGACATTTCATATACATGCAATCATATACTGTGTGGTCTCTTCTGACTAACTTCTGTCACTTAGCATGTTTCAAGGTTCATCCATATTGTAGCTTACATCAGTGCTTCATTCTTTTTTCATGGTTGAACAATATTCTATGGTATGAATATACCACATCTTGTTTATCTGATCATCAGTTGATGGACATTTGGGCTGTTTCCACTTTTTGGCTATCAGTTATCAGTTCTTTTTTTTAAAGATTTTATTTACTTATTTATTTATCTGAGACAGAGAGAGAGAAGCACCAGTGCGTGGGGGAGAGGCAGAGGGAGAGGGAGAAGCAGGCTCCCTGCTGAGCAGGGAGCCCCATGTGGGGCTCGATTCCAGATCCTGAGATCATGACCTGAGCCGAAGGCAGACACTGAACTGACTGAGCCATCCAGGCACCCCTGTTATCAGTTCTTTGGGGTCTATTTTTAGAAGTGGAATTGTCGGGTCATATGGTAACTCTATGTTTAGCTTTTTGAAGAACTGTCAGACTGTTTATCAGGGTGACTGCACCATTTTACATTTTCACCAGCGGTGTATGAGAGTTCCAATTTCTCCACATCTTTGCCAACATTTGTTATTGTCTTTTTTTTTTTTAATTTATTTTTAAAGTAAGCTCTATACCCCACGGGGGCTCGAACTCATGACCCTGAGATCAAGAGTTGCCTGCTCTCCCGACTGAGCCAGCCAGGTGCCCCTGCTACTGTCTTTTTGATTACAGCTATCCTACTGGGTGTAATCACTGTGGTTTTGATGTGCTCTTCTCCGATGGCTAATGATATTAAGCATTCCTTTCATGTGCTTATTGGCCATTTGTATATCTTCTCTGGAGAAAAGTCTATTCAGTCTTTTGTCCATTAAGAATTAGGTTATCTTTTTATTGTTGAGTTGTAAGCATTCTCTATGTATTCTAGAAACAAGTCCCTTATTGAATATGATATGCAAATATTTTCTCACATAATCTGTGTGTTCTTTTTATTGTCTTGACAGTGTTCCCTGAAACAGAAAAAGATTTCAGTTTTAATGAAGTCCATGAGATACAGTGTACTCATCTCCAGGTTCTAATTCACTACAGAGCTCCCTCTTTGCCTAACCGGCAACACGTGGACAAGGACATCTTTTCTCTACTTACCCTCTAGGTCCAGACCCTGAGATCAAGATGCAGACACAAGGGTACTCTCTGACTCGACTAAGACACAGGTTGGGGAAGGACAGGTGCACAGAAGGGCAATAAGGTTTGGGGAGGTGATATGGATCTTTCAGGCTGACCTACTCACCGGCGGGCTTGCACTTTCCGTCTCTTTGTCCTGCTCACATCATTCTCTGAGTTCTGCTCCTCTGGTCTGAGCTCTGTGTTAGAAACACTCATTACATCTAGCGCATTAACAAAAAGGCCTTCACATATGATGTTCTTTCTTTTTTTTCTTTTAAGACTTTATTTATTTGAGAGAAGGAGAGAGAGCACAAGCAGGGGGAAAGGGGCAGAGGGAGAGGGAGAAGCAGGCTCCTCACTGAGCAGGGAGCCTGATGAGGGGCTCGATCCCAGGACCCTGGGATCATGACCTGAGCCGAAGGCAGACGCTTAACTGACTGAGCCACCGGGCACCCCTATGCTTTGCTTCTGAAGTACTTATCACAGTCTGAAGTTTTAGACTTACTTGTATGACATGGAGAAGTCTCTCTGTTAGGGTAGGAGCACTGCTCTTTTATTTACTGTGGTATCCTTGACACCTAGCACGGAGCCTTGCACATAGAGATGTTCAATAAATATCTATCAAATGAGTGGCAACAAAACCCAGCAACAACCATTTGTCTAGCTATTCAGAACTTCCAAAACACTTTATATAGTATTTAATATTTCTGAAGGTGCTTTCACAGCTCCAGTGCCCAGCTGATTGGGTGTCCCCAAAAGGTTAGTTCTTTCCCATTTTGTCTCTTAAAATTATAAACTACATCCTTCCTCATGTGGTAGACAGCTTCTGAAATGAATCCTATTTTTTTTTTTAAAGATTTTATTTATTTATTTGAGAGAGAGCGTGAGAGAGAGAAAGAGCACAAGAGGGGGGAGCGGGAGAGGGAGAAGCAGACTCCCTGCCGAGCAGGGAGCCCGATGCGGAACTCAATCCCGGGACTCCAGGATCATGACCTGAGCCGAAGGCAGTCGCTTAACCAACTGAGCCACCCAGGCGCCCTGAAATGAATCCTACTGATTCCTGCCTCCTGGTATTCATGACTCCCACTGAATTTAGGCAGAATCTAATGACTTGTGTTGAATGGATAGAATACAGCAAAAGTGATGGGGTGCCACTCCTGTGATTAGGTTATAAGAGACTGACTTCTTTCTTTTTACTTTTCTTTTTAAGCTTATATATTTATTTTTTAGTAATCTCTATGCCCAGCATGGGGCTCAAACTCAAAACCCCGAGATTAAGAGCTTCATGCTCTTCTGACTGAGCCAGCCAGGCGCCCCAGATGGACTTCTTTCTTGCTAGCACTCTCTCTCTTGCTCTCTCGCTTGCTCACTCTGATGAAGCAAGCTTCCACATTATGACATGCTCCAGGGAGAGGCTCTCAGGGCGAAGAAAGTGAGGGAAGCCTCAATCCAACAGCCCATGAGGAACTGATTCCTACCAACAACCATGGGAGTGAGCTGGGGAGCAGATCATTTCCAGTGGAGCCTTGCAATGACTGTAGCTTTGTGTCAGATCTGGAGCCTTAAGAATGCTGTTAAGCCAGGCCCAGATTCCCAACTATGAGAAACTGTGAAATCATAAATATTGTTGTAAGTTACCAAGTTTTGGAGAAATTTGTTTATGCAAACATAGATGACCAATGTACCCTATTTCTGCAATGAGATAACATACTTATTATTTCGGTAATTTGTTCAGTTCTTTAAAATGACAGATAAACTGTTTCTTTTTAAAAATTTTCCCAATGAAGCAATGAGTGAAACCAAAGGTTTTCAATGAGAACTCTATGTGTTCTCTCTCTTGCTGTCTAGACCAGTTAAAACCAAGAACCCCGGGGTTCAAATCCTGGATTTGCCACTTATTAGTGGCACTTATTAGTGGCACACACATTTATTAGCTGTGTGACTCAGAATATTTAACTTTTCTGAACCTCAGATTCTTTTGTAAAATAAGCGTAACAGTAACAGGATCTACTTCATAAGTTTGTTATGAGCATTAAACAGTTAAGTTAGTAAAAGTGCCTTAGCCATGTCTGGTGCAAAGAAGGAGCTCCAACATGTTTAATCCTTTCTTCCTCTGTGATAAAACCATGCTATTCCATTACTTTATTTCTCCAATAAGCTCCATACACCACCACCCTGACTTAACTGTCCTACTGAAGTGATCACAAAACATTAATACTGCGAGAGGCCTATATGCTATGTGGTTTAATTCCTTCACTTTGAAGATAAGGGAATTGAGGCCCAAAGAGATAAGGATTCCTGATTTCTAGGCCAGTGTTCTTTCAATTACTACTATACAATATTGGATTTCTCTTCTGGTAACAAGACACTGACAATTGCCTTTTCTCCCACATGAAGTCCCATTAGTGAGGCTTCCTTGTATAGCAACGGTGGATTCAGGGAGAAAGCATGGTGCTAGGGAGAGTGAGGAGCCACAGGTAGGTGATGCGGACTCACCTGCACGGGCTGGCTGACTAGGACCTGGTTCCTCATGGCTGGTTTTTGTGCTTGCCATGCTCGTGGGGGGCACCCTCTGGGCAGCCGAAAGTACCATGTGGGCTGAACGGCCCAAAGCCCCTGGCTGGAGCTGTTTTAGGATATTCTTAAGCTCTGAAACTTCCTTGGTGCTCCTGCAGGGAGACAGACAGCACTCGGTTTCATTCAGAACAGAGACTCCATTCTGCTCACCCTGCTCAGTGGCATCCAACCAAGAAAGTCTGATCTACAGATAGGGTTAGGTCGAGAGATGTGGTTAAGTGGGAGGAAACCAGGCAGTGAGTGCCTGTGAGTGACTTGGTAGCCTTTCTTTTTTCAGGAGAAAGAACTGAAAAGTGGACAAGAGACCTCCATTCTGGTAGCTACGTACGTTTGGGGATCTGGGAAGAATGTCCTCCGAATGGAAGGATTAGCCAGCCAGGGTCTGGGACCAGACTCCTGAGCATCAGAGCCCTGAGAAGAAAATGGAGAAATATGAACTACAGATATCCACCACCAGGGGGCACTGCCACCTAGTACCAGGGATAGTCCCAAACCTGAGGGCTTCGCCTCAATGAGAGTACAGATATTTGCTATAACTTTATGTGGTATCTTTGCTTGTGGGCACACTCTCTCCCAGCTGTAAGATACGAGATTCAGAGATTCAGTAATTTTGTATACTTAGTTTCCCAATGCTAAGGGTTTTGTCATGATCCTGAAAGATCAAAGAATATATGCTGTTGGGAAAAATGGGGCCATGAGACTGATAATCACGAGCAAACTTTCGGAAAGCATATATATGTGTGTGTGTGTGTGTGGTTTCAATCTGTGCGTATATAAAATTGATTCGTGTAGGTACAAAACTCAAATCACTTATCTCTCTTTATATACCTATGTGAGAGAAACTAAGCATACCCATATGTTTCTCTATATTTAAAAATAGTTCTATTTTGAACTATTTGGGGACATTCTCATCATTTTTCTCTTCGAAATATTATTATTATTATTTTTTTTTTTTAAAGATTTTATTTATTTGAAAGAGAGAGCATGAGAGGGGGGAGGGTCAGAGGGAGAAGCAGACTCCCCGCTGAGCAGGGAGCCCGATGCGGGACTCCAGGATCATGACCTGAGCCGAAGGCAGTTGCTTAACCAACTGAGCCACCCAGGCGCCCTCGAAATATTATTTAATAATATTGTCTAATTTCCAGTATGATTTCTTCTGTGAACTATTTTGTTCACCTGCAACTACAAACCTACCAATTTTAGTCACTGATAGAAAGAGATGTGTATGTACGTATGCGTACATAGATACCACAAGTATTAGCCTAGCCACTATATATAACTATTACAGGAATTTTATAAACCTCTCTACTTCTAACTTCAGAAATGTCTACATGTGATAATCACACAATAGATCATTTCTAAATAGCTTTTCTTTATGTGGTATGTGCCACAGTTTCTATCTTGTCAAAATTCAATTTATCTGTGTCAATTCATCTGTACCTATTTCCTTTTTTATTTTTCCAAATTTACTTTTTTCCCTTGAATTTAAAAGAACTAAAAAATTTTGTCTTTAATCTGCAGCTCTGATTCTTCTATCAGAGTCTTTTTTAATTTTTTAAGTAGGCTCCATGCCTAGCATGGAGCCCAGTGTGGGGCTTGAGCTCATGACCTTGAGATCAAGACCTGAGCTGAAATCAGGAGTCCAACGCTTAACTAACTGAGCCACCCAGGCACCCCTATCACAGATTCTTTTAAAAGTAAACATCTTTCTTAAAAAAAAAAAAAAAGTAAACATCTTTCTTGTAAAGCATGACCTTGACCTCATTCTGCAAGTATGAGAAGTAGTATTTTTATTCATATTCACAGCTTGTTTTTATTTATTTAAGTAATCACATTCACTGTTTAATATTTTATAAGTGCCATCACAGTCTCATCTTGGACCTAGCAGTAATTTTGAAATATTTTAATTTTCCAGGGTGTTTATTTTTTCTTTACCTTGTCTCATAAATTTTAGATCGAATGCTACTAGAAAGGACAACTGATGGGTGTGGAGAGATGGTTTATTTAACTTTAACTCTAAGTGAGATTAGGAACTGGGCTCCCGAGCACAGGTTAAGTGGAGTCAGGCGGCCTGAGTTCAAATCCACTCCAAGACCTCCTTAGCCACGTGACCTGGGGCATCTCACTAAACTTCTCTGTGCTTCTGTTTCCTAACTGGAAAACCAGTGCCACGAAATACCCTATTTCACAGGCCTAAAAGCCCTTATGTTCTGCTATCACCACAATATACCATTATTACAACACAGGAGGAAAAAAGCCTATGGAATTTTAGACATCTTAAATTACAAAACTGAATGCTAGCAATCTGTTTCCACGTACCAACCCTCTCTTGTAGAAACGTTTCAGGATCTCTTTCCCTGTGGTTTCCACTGAGATGTGTGCAGTATGTTTCACTCTGCTGCTGATGTTCAACGCCCTTCTGACATTATGGCTCTGGAGCTGCTGACTCCCTCCTCCATCCCACCAGGGTCTTAAAGGTGCAGAGTAACTGAGATGACCGACACGGAAAAGGCTCTAAGAAGCCCTTATTTAGCCCATAATTGGGGGAGACCACATCTCCTGGTTTGCCTGGGACAATACTGTTGTCTTGATAAAATTCACAGCCCCTTTTTTTTTTTTTGCGCTCCAAGTGTCTCTGAGTTTGGATGGTAAATTTTATGGTGTTCCTATCTACAACTTGCCCCTGAGCGGTGAGTTATCTAAAAGCCTACTTTGTTCTACGCTCTGTGCTAGCTGCCAGGAATCAGTGTGGAACAAGACAAACAGGTCCCTAATCTCGCAGAGCTTGCATTTTACTGGAGCCAGGCCTGGGGCCACAGGGCTGTAGCGCCACTCACTGAGCCCCAGGCCGCTGCAGAGCCGGAATTCGGCAGAGTACCCAAACTGCTTCCACTGGTTTTGAGCTTTTCCTGTGAAGGAGGAAATCTCAGACCAGGCTTTACTTTGTCTCAGTTCTCTGGGTCTCTCCTGAGGCTGTATGACAGAAGCATCACCTCCTCCTCCTCCCTTTTCTCTTCCCAGTGCCCAGTCTCTTGTTTTTCTCAATAACCGTGACAGGAACGACACCTGTGACATTCACTCCTGGGGCTGAACTTTTGGTTAGGTCAGATGTTTGGAGCTTCTAAAGACGCATCGTGTGCATAGGAAGCACTGTGGTATGATGATAGGAGACTCGGATTTCTAGTCCCTCCTCTGCTCTGATTCACTGTGTGAATTTGACTACGGAAGTTTCCCTAGCTGAGATGTAGAAGAGGTGCAGAATGGGGCTTGATGAACTCCATGTATTTTTTCACCTCTAGAATTCTATGACTCTAGCTTTGTGTGATTCTGTCTTTGTACTTGTTTGGAGGGAATTATGATGGAGGGTACTGGAAAGTTAAATGAAGACACCAGGGACGAGAAAGCAGGAGTCTGAATAGGCTTAGGGGGAAGAAATAACTAGAAAACTGGCTGAGAAGAGGGGAGGTAAACTGACCAGATACCTATCTACCTTCTCTTAGCAGTATGAGTGTGCTGTCCAGGGAAAGAAAGCAGGAAAACAGATGAAATCGCAGAGCACGTATCTAAGATTCTAACTGGCTCTCCTGGCAGGTGGGTCAGGCGACAGCAATGACAGAGAGACAGTAAGTGAGCCCTGAGTCTGGCAGGTGCCAGAAGGAAAAGTCTGATGAAAGCTATAGCCCACAGGAACCTACACCTAAAGTATGAAATTAAGTTTGAATCCAAAAGAGACTTCATTCATGCTAAAGAACGAGTGGTCCAATAGCTTTGGGTACACTGTACTAAAGGCTCGCTCCCTTGACTCTCCCACGGGTGAGAGGGGAGGAGAGGCGTTCCCTCTTACTTGTAAGGAAGTGTAGCAGGTCCATTTATGTTTTTATTTGAGTGTGTGTGTGTGTCTATCCCTCAATCAAGCACCAGCTTTCTAACCAGAAACTGAAAAAAAGGTGGGAAAATATGAAGTCCTTGTTCCACCATTGTACATACCTGGCTCAGCCTAGAGCTCTCGGGGGCCAAGGGACCCCCCACAGGGTCATCTAAGGAGTCCAGGGAGGAACACACCCGGAGGAAGGCCAGGCCAAAAGACTGCTGACGTGTGAAGGGTTGGGAGCAGGTCAGGCGAAGTCGATCCCATGACTCACCTGAGGCTGGCACCAGGAAATCATCTCAAGGGAAAAAGAAAGAAAATGAAAGGGAAAGGAAATGCATAAACGAAGGGGAGAAAGGAAGAGAAGGTCAATACTGAGGAGAGGAAAGAAAAGACGGGACTGTATAGGGTAAACTCCAACAAAAGGAAGAATGGAGGTCATCAGTAACTGGCCCCTTAGGCCTTGGTGCTCGGCGTCTGGCAGTCCCAAGCAGGCCAGTCAAGGTGCACTCAGACCCAGTGCTTCGCCTTCCCACATTCGCTCCTCTGTCAGGGTTCCACACTGTGCCCAGCACGAGCACATCCTCATTCTACACCTCTCCAGGGACCTTCTCAATGTCTCATTTTGACAGGAGGTACCTGCAGTGTTGGGGTCTGAGATGACCCCTTACCCGGTGAGTTAGCTGAGCTGCATCTACCCCTCCCGGACCATGAGAGCCCAGCCTCCCCACAGCACTCCATGGCCTTCAAAGTCACTCCCAGTATGACATACCAATACTGCAAACCCTTCTCACCTTTAATTCCCAGCACTATCTGGTAGTACCTCATCTGCACCTCCTGTGACCCTCCCATATCACTCTTCCTTCATATTACAAACACCTCTGTGTCAACAGGGACAAATCCTTACTAGACTGTAAATCCCCAGAGACCAGGAATCAGGTCTCATGTTTCTTCTGCAGTGCCTCGTGAACACAGAGATCTGCATAGACTGGAGCTCAGGAAACACTGGATACTGCCTCATTATATCCATTATATAGCTTTCCATCACTTACATAAACATTATTCTATACTAACACTTATACAACGGTCCATCCTTATCTGAGGGGCACATGTTCCAAGACTTCCAGTGGATGCCTGAAACCACAGAGTAACCAAACCCTGTATATACTGTTTTTTTCCTATACATACATACCTATGATAAAGTTGAATTTATAAATTAGGCACAGGAAGAGATTAACAACAATGACTAATAATAAAATAGAGCAATTATAACAATGTACTTTAATAAAAGTTATGTGAATGTGGTCTCTCTCTCTCAAAATATCTTACTGTACTCTACCTTCCCTTTTTCTTTTTTTTTTTTTTAAGATT